GAGGGCTGAGAGGGAATGGGAAAGAACAAAATTTAAAATCATACATAGCAGGCCAGACGGTAGTACAGTAGTAAAAATACAACACTCTGTAAGGAGGATTCTGATGAGAAAGTTGCTGATTCTTGGCCAGAGGCCCCCCTGGAGTACAGGCCTCCCATGTGTGTGCCCATGATCCAGACTGGCTGAAGCTGAGAGGTGGACTGTGGGATCGAGACCCCATTAGGGGTGCTGTATCTATCTCTCTATATCTCTCATGGAATAAATAAGTTCTTCTTAAAAAATCATACATTTAATTTTTTAAAAATAACATCTAAAGCTGGTAATTATATAGAAAAATAGGGAATAATCTTTCCAAATGACAATTTGGCACTACCCATCAAGAGTTTAAAATATGTTCTTATTTTTAGATTAAATTACCCCACTGCTAAGAACTTAACCTAAAAAAAAAATCAGATATATATACAAATATACATATCATTTTTAAAATGTAAACAAATTACATGCCTTAAATGGAAAGTATAGCCATTAAACTCATTGTTTTTAAAGACTAATGGAGTAAAATTCACAATATACTATTGAATGAAAAAATGATTATACAGACACACAGAGGAAAAGGACTGGAAAAAATATACAGCAAATGTCAGCCCAGACACAGTAGCATAGCAATGCTGGAAGCCATATGGAAGACCAGGGCTTAGTACTCAGGTTGACTTGTATACATCAGATACATGTGCATGTGTGCCCATGATCCTGGCTAACTGGGAAGGTGGGGAGGAGGATCATGGTGAGACCCTTGTGAAGGTATTTATTTATCTCTCTTTCTCCCTCTCTCGTGAAACAAACAAACTTAAAAAATAAATAAATAAATAAAAGGAAAACACACCCCATATGTTATACTAGTTACCTCTGGGAAGTGGATTATAGGTTATTTTTATGTTGTTATTCATGGTTTTATTCCTTTTCAATTGCTTATGATGAGTAAATGATGCTTTTATAAAAATCAGAAAAAATATTAAGGTCATCATATTTTTGAAGATTATTTGACTTTATAAGACAATATTCAAAATACATTATGTGGAAAATACAATAAAAACTGTATATATACTATGATTCCTACTTTTATCAAATGACCTTGAGCTGCAGTATGAGGAAGGTTGACTAGAAAAAAAAAAGTTATTGACAGGGATAAGAGCCTAACATACTGCTCGGAAGTGAGTAGGCTAGGATGAAAACCATGGTCCTGCCTGAGGGCTCAGGCTCAAATGACTTCTCTGAGTGCTCTAAAAGAAAGCTATGTGAAGGAGAAACACATACAGAAACTTACCCAATGGTAGGGCTGATGTTGTGGTCAAAGTGATCCTGGACAAATCGGCACACAATGCTCGATTTCCCAACCCCGGTGTCCTATGAAGGAATGAGAATACAGCCATGAGGATCAAGGTGCCAACTCTGACTGAACATAAGCATACCCCGGAAGACTGGGGCAGTCATTGCTGGCTGATGGGAATAGGGGAGGCACGGTCAGGGGCGGGGGGTGAGGTAGATATTTTCTTCTATTTCTTAACAGTATTTTCTATAATAAAATTATATTGATTTCATACAATGAAAAGAAGTATGGGAAATATAAGTTGTAAAAGATGCCCCACATTCGTACAACAGTTAATAGACAAACATGATTTGAAAATTTTGGAGAAAGCCTAGAGAAGAAATATTACAACATACCACAGTGTTTTGGTAGAAATAGAATTTACTTTATTCACAGTATTAGCACTCAAAAAACTTGTAATCTGTTTCTCCAGGTTTCATGCTATAAAACCTATGAATTCTGATTTCTACATTTCTAACATTTTCTCTTTAGGATGCAATAACTGTATAATAACCTCCAGTTGGGTTAGGGTAATTATATAAAGCCCTCATCTGAGATCTTTCTCTGACAAAAAAATTTTTTTAGAGAGAGTTTTGCTACAGGGCACGTGTGCTCACCAGAGAGACAGAGAGAGTCAGAAAAAGAGAAAGTGAGAAATCACTCCCCGGGGGATAGGCACACTGCTATCCCTTCTCCTCGTTCTCCCCTTGGGATTTTGGGCACATGTGTACTTGCACCTGGCATGAGTTTCAAGCTGCTGAGTCTGAGACTCAGATCATGTTCAGCCATGTGAGAATCCAGCACCTTAACCACTATGCCATCTGCTGGCCCCCAAAATTCTCTAAAGGTGATAAAGATAGGGATCCAGTTACATGGTGGAAATGAAATACACATGCTTATATACACCGCCTTCTAAAAGCCTTGTACAATGGTTTAAAAACAAAAGACACACATTCACAAGGTCAAAGAGCTACAAGAGATACCAGCAGATGGCATAGTGGTTATGTTTCTGGACTCCCACATGGCCAACTGTGGTTCAAGTCCTGGACCTGGTGGCTTCAAGATCACACCAGGCACGTGAATATGTATGGCCAAGATACCTAGAGGAGAATGGCCATCCCCCCGGGGTGATTTCTCACTTTCCCTCTCACCGTCTCTCTCTCTCTCTGGTGAGTACACATGCCCTAAGGCAAAAACAAAACCAATAAAAACAAACAAACAAAAAGAGCCAGAAGAGAACACCAGACAAGTGGTATCAATAAAATCCAAGAGGATGTGTGACCCTGAGAGAAAGAAGAAGCCAAAACCAATAAGCAGCCAGTCAGCTCACGCCAGAAGATCCCAGAAAACAGCAAGAACTGGAGGACAAGGTTGAAAACAGGATCAGCTGAAAGCCACACAAAAACATATGACTAACATTCAGGCCACATAACCAGGAAGAGATGGGAGTTAACTCTCTAGGAAACCTGCCTCAGATAGAGGCTGCATTTGGGGACATCAGGCACAGCCAAGGGAGAGACCAGCTGCTAGTCACCTGAGCTGGATAAGCCCAAGCACATGCAGAAGCAGAGAAGATTCCCTTTAAGAGAAGAGGAAAAAGTCCCAATATTGGGGGTCCCCAACTAAAGACCGTGTGTGCACTAGTTGATAAGCTGGATATAAACAGAACTTTCAATGTACATTTATTTATTTATTAAATTTTGCCAGAAGGCACATATACTCACTGGAGAGAAAGAGAGAGACAGACAGACAGGGCGAGGAGAGGAGAAAGCACTTCCAATTACGAATGGTCACGCTGCAATCCCTTCTCCTCCATTCCTCCTTTATTTCAGAATTTTGGGCATACGTGCACACATCTCAGCATGTTTTCAAGTTCCACAAGGGTTAAGCACTCAAACCATGTGGAATGGACCATGTAGAACACAACCACCTTGACCACCAGGCCATAGGCTGGGCATTTCCATGAACTTTATGAAGTCCCCTCTTTATTTAAATGATTATTCAGCAAATAAAACCAATCTCTTAGAAATTAAAAGTATGATGGTAGAAGTACAATTTAAAGGAGGTGTTAGAAGACTAAGTCAGGATATTGTCCAGGAAATAGAACAAAGAAAACCAAAGCAAAGGCCCTGAGTTGCTGACCGGGGCTCTTCTAAGAGGTGATAAGACAGAAAGATGCACAATGCAAAGACTTTATCAACACCGAGACAGCGTCATCAACACATTCCATGAAAGGATCACAGAAGGGGATATTTTGAGATCTATAAGGAAAAGGTGTAACTTGAAAAGCCAAAAGATCAAGAAGAAAATGCTGAAACTCAGAAAAAGTGTTTTTCTTCAGACACTGAACTATGAAATGAGATTTCAAATACCAATCAGCAACCTGAATTATTTTCACTCTTTTTCAATCCTGTTTTTGAGAGACCATGCCTGAAAACCTGGGGCAAGAGGGGCCTTGGCTTGTGATTCTCCACAGAAAACCCTTCTCCAGAATGAGAAGCAGCCTGCACTGATTCTGAGCCCTAACAAAATGCAACACCGTTTATCGGCAGTGTGCAAATCGATACGCAGAGTTCAAAGAGGTGACAGCAGAATTAAAATATCAGCTCATAAGATTCCAATCGATGCTGTTGCTATTTCTGGGCTGGACCTTCAACATGGATTCTGGCTCATGTGCCCTACCAGGGCCTCAAAGTACAACTCAGTTCTTTTCGTCTGGATGAGCAGATCCTTGCCATCCATGCAACTCCCAGAAAACTGAGGAACTATGATGCCATATCCTGCCTTTGAAGAGAAGAAAAACACCCCTTACTAGTAGCCCTTTCTTGAGGCCAACTGTTTCCTACAAATTGCCAAGAAGGCAGTGTGGGGATCTCTCCCCAACAATGACCACACTCATTTCTGCTTTTCTCCTTCACAATGTAGGAATTCTCTTCTCATGGCTCATCCATTCATTTATTCATCTCTTCCTCACTCACTCAACAAGCATTCACAAAGCCCTGCCTATCCCATGCTGACAGAAGGTTAGGCTCTGCTGTTGGAGGGAAAAGGTGTCACCTTTGCTGGCCTCCAGGAGTTCCAGAGCAGTGTCAGGTACTAGCAAGGGGAAAGACCGGCACATAGAAGCAGCGTGGGGCTGCTCCACCTGTAGCTTCCCAGGCACTCAGCCCTCAGGAGTCAATCCCTCAGCCTTACAATGTATACATTTCTTGCCTTCCTCAGTACCGTTCCAGCTGATCCCCTGGTGCACCCTCCTGCCAAGCTGAGAAACCACTCCTCTGAAATTCCTCTGGTTCCTCTCAGCCCCAGACCCTTCCTCCTTTAATTTCTCTGTTCTTAACATGGCTCTCAGTGCAAAGGGTTCTGACTAGATTGGGCATCTTCTGTGTTGGGACACTGCTCAGAGAGACACCATTCTGGAGTCCATCAGTTTACTCTGCACAAGGGTTCTGCTTAAAATAAGTAACTCCATGGACCAGCAGTTAGCGTAATGGCTATGTTGCTGGACTCCCAAGTAGTTGACCATGGTTCGAGTCCCAGATCCAGTGGCTTAAACTCACGCCGGGCGCATGTGCGTGCGTGCCCAAGATCCCGAGAGGAGAATGGAGAAGGGATTGTGGCATGGCCATCCCCCCGGGGGGTGATTTCTCACTTCCTGTCTCTCTGTCTGGCGAGCACACGTGCCCTATAGCAAAAACCTCTCAATAAATAAATAAATAAATAAATAAATAACTCCCAAGTCCCCAGAGCAGCCCAACAGATCTTACAGGGCCAACTGCAAATTGCTCTTTAAGAAGAAAAAGTAAAACTGATGTGAACTGTGTTCATCATCTTCTATAGAGGCTCAAGTTAAAATGCCAGACTTTCTAAATAGTTAGAGCAGCAAACCTGCGCAAATTTAGATTTAACCACTGATTGTTCAGTCAAATGCATTCAGTGCATCTTCTTTTTAACAATTTATCTCAATGTCTTATACACATTTGAGAGGAAAAAAAAAGGAAATAACAGGACAAAAAGTTAGGGAAAGTTTTAGTTTGTCTCAGAAAAGGAAATATTACTACAAAGAGCACCAAATAATCCTCTGTGGCCAGTGGCTTGGAGACAGCTCAGGAAATGGGTGGCAGCTCTCAGGTCTCCAGGGCCTCCTTCCCAGGACAACTGTTGTTCCTCAGTTGGCCACAAGGGGAAGACCTGCCCGCGGTTCGCTGAGAACAGCCACACTGCTCCTGAATCACTGGGTGCTGTGATTTCCTTTTCCTGCCATGACCTCACTGGGACTGTAACCCATATAAACAACTGGACTGTGACACACACACAGCAAGGGAAATGTCAGATGAGTCATGACAATCACACATGAAATCACATCACTGTAAAGCAGAAAAAGAGAATAAAACCTACTAGGTGAAAAAAAGAGTCTGTTAAGAAAGAGGGTGAAAGCTGAGAGACATGGCTGCCCATCATCTTGAAAGGTCACTTTGTCTTTGTAAACTTATGTGATGAAATTCGTCCACATATGTATTTTTCCACTTTATAAGATTCTGAGACTATCACAATCTGTCCTGTCCAATTTCCTAGTTTTGCAAAAGAGGAAGCTACATGACTTCCTCAAAGTCACACAGCTGGTTGTGAGAGTAAGAACCAAACTGTTTGAGGCCCAGTTAAACTCCCTTAAAGTCCTTACCAGATTAGATCAAACTTCTCACCATATATGCTTACAAAAAACAAACAAACAAAAAACCTTTTTGGAACTCACAAGGAGTTACTTGTTATTTTTTACTACTCAGTTTCTCTTGCTTGGTTCAAATAGTCTCAGATGGTGTGAAAATACAAGGAGTCTTCAAAAAATTCCTACAAGATGCATACTACGGAAAAAAGTTATGTGTCAATTTCAACATTTTCGCACCAAAATAAACTTGCACTTGAATCTCATTTCCACAAACTTTCCGAAGTCCCCTTGTACTGCGGCTGTCATTTTGAAATGAAATGTAGTGAAAGCAGGACAGTCTATTGACTGCTGGGGAGGCATTAGAATAAAATCAATTCTGATTCCACAAATCGAGAAGAAAGCTTAGTAGGATCTTCCCTGTGAGATTATCAGTGTGCTGTTGGATACTCCCTGCACGGTTGATAGTACGTAAGCACTGAGGTCTAACAACTGGTTCCATCTACTTATGGAGAAACTAATCCCTCATATGACATTCCTCTCAGAATATAACTCTCTGAGAACCACGTACTCTGACAGCCTCCACTGCTTAAATTGTCCTATATATTAATCATATGTAAATCTATAACTAAGAAATCAGGAACCATAAACTCTTGACTGTTGCCACATAAAACTCTAGGCACTGTCAATCTATGAAAATCAACCCAAAATATCGATTCACTCTTGGACTGCTGCAACAGCCTTCACGTTTCCTACTCCCCAAGATAAAGAGTCTAATTCTCACGCTTATACAAGAGGACTTTATAAAGTTCATGAAAAAAATGAAATTAAAACAAGTTCATTTTAGTGCCCTCCAAAAATAAAACTTCAAGCATAGTTTTTCCATCATACATATTTTCCATCAACTTTTGAAAGACCCCTCACGTATCACCTCTACCTAATTCTGCTCTCATGGCAGACATCACTAATCAATTCAGGGCACATTATCTTATTGAATTTTTAAAAAAATCTCAAAATCTTTTCCACTCAGCTATGCAAGAAGTCACCATGACTTGATCAAGGTGGGCCCAAGAAAACAAGGCTGTCCTCTCTGTTCACTCTAGGCCTCTTGACGTTCAACATGTTCCTACAAACTCCTTCACTCCAAATCACTAAGCACTGCTCTTGCAGACCCTTTAGAAACCTTTGCAGGTAGTAAGGTGTTTTAAGAACCTAGTAATAATTTTTTTTAAATTGCTGATAATATTATATACGTGTTTTTAAGTTTATTTATTTCATCCAGAAAGACAGAAAGAGACGGACAAGCTCCTGACAGGATCTTCTTGTCACAATCTAACCCCAGTCTCACCGAGCCCAGATTATGGCACATGTGCACTGGCATGCAGAGGGAGGTTCTGGGACAGGAACCTAGGACCTCCTCATGTGAGTACAGTTGCATTACCACTGACTCACTACCTGGCCCCGATGATGACATTATAAATCAACATGACTCCTAATGAAAGGAAATTACAATCTATGAACAGACCCAGAGGCTCAGGAATTCCATTCCTAAGAAGGCAGTTAAAAGAAGAAAAAGGAATGAGTCATGAAAAAGCTCACTGCAGTTTAATTTATTAATATGAATAACAGGCCAAGCCTATAGCCTAGTGGTTAAGGAAGCTGGATCCCACATGGCTGACCACAGTTCAAATCTTGGTGCAATGACTTGAAAAATACACGAAGTACATGTGTGTGTGTGTGTGTGTGTGTGTGTGTGTGTGTTTGTGTGTGTGCGCCTCAAATCCTGACAGGACAGAGAAACAGAGAAGGGATTGCGGCATGACTATGCCCCACTGGGAGAGGTGAGGGGCACTTTCTCTGTCTCTCTGTCTCTGGCAAGCACATGCACCCTCTGGCAATGAAAAGAAAAAGTAAAATAAAATAGCCTAAGTAAATTAACTATAAATTATATTACAGCATATGTAGTAATCTTTTAAACTTTCATTTCATTCCTATCAAAATGTTAAAAGGCAGAATAGAATTTTCCTCTAATATATACTATAGAAATGATTCTAAGAGTCACATCCCATTTGGAAGCACTCAGTAATTTCAGCATCTCTCTCTGGTCTGAGAATCAGAGATAACTTATACGGCAAAGATTTTTGCATTTATTTGTTTTGTTCCGTCATCCACTGAGTTAAATATTGAGACTCTAAGCCTTACATACTTCTGGAAAAGTCTTAAGTATCTTAAGCATTGATAAGTAGTTAAGCTGGGAAATTAGGCAGCCAGACCCCGTGGGCAGAAAGAAATGAAATGGGAGAAACAGGCAGAACCCTAGATGCTAATGGTTTGACTTCTTCTGACCCCAGACATGAGGGAAGCCAAGACACCATAGGAACCTGACCAAGAGGAGGCATAGCGAATACACACATGTACACCTCACTCTCCCTCACCCCTTGTCTTGGGTGCTGAAAACCTGTGTGGACACAAACCGCAGGCAAATGAAACATGTGGTCACTAGGGCAGCGCCGCAGGCCAAGCCTCACTTCTGGAGAAGAAGGGAGGAGATGTATCCAGATTGCAGATGAGGAGATGGTGACAAGGAAGAGCATTTCTGTGTCTTACAGTTACAGGGACTGGCTCTGCCTGGAGAAAGCCAGGGCTCACCCTCCAGATCCTGGGTCCCAACATCCCAGGTCACAGCCACTCAGTAACACTGACAGCCCTTTCCATGGCCTGACAACCTGTGCCCACTCAGAACTGAAAACAAAACAGGTCCAGGAAGCACCATCCAGGAAGAACTGTGTCCACCCCTATAAATTTTGAAGAAACTCCGTGGAAAGGCAGCATGAATTCACAAAGTAACTCACAAAGCCCTTTTTGAGCTTTAGCTAAGGGGAGAGGATCTACCCCCCACACACAGTGGATGTATTATGCCAACAGAAAACCCCAACTGCATACACCCCACAGAAGACTAAGGTCCCTGAGTTGACATAATCTACCAATCATCTGGCCTAAGAAGTCAAGATCAAAACACTGAGCATCATTCCTAAAATTCCCCATGAACTCCCTGGAGATCCCCAATTCGTCCATACTTTGATTCTCTTTCTAGGCCTCCCTTTCTATAAAAGAGAATTGAAGTGCTTTGTACCAGGATACCATCCGAGGGCTTATTGGAATCACAGACTTAATAGAGCCCTGTTTGCCTCTGGTATAAAATAATTCCTATGCATCCCAAGCACCTCTTACCAGAAGATATTTTAGCACTGAAGACAGAAAGGTTCAATACCTGTAAGTCACAGTAACCACTACTAAAAAGAAACTGCTATAAAAATAGAAAATATATTGAACTCAAGTTCATCTCTACTTGTTTCATTACCATACACACTACAAGACTTCCTTTGATGGTGGTAAGGTAGATCTTACCCAAGCAAAGTACATCTCAGCCTTCACACGAAGATTCAGGAAAAACTGAGCTAGCAATGCCAAGTCCAACCTTAGCCAGGCACCTTAGTCTCTCTAGGTTTATAGGACACAATTATTTGAGGAAAACACACTACCAATCAAAACCTTCTGAGCATTTCCAGAATGATAGTGCTATTCTTGCATTTATTCTTGCATTTATGGTTAGTTTAAAACATGCCAGAAATATATAACAAATGTTTCAAAATTTATTTACAGGAAGCCAGCCAGTGGTGCGGTAGTTAGGGTGGTTGGATCCCATGTGACCACCCACACAGTTCAAGTCCCGAACCCAGTGGCTTGACAGAGAACCTGGATGTGTGTGTGTGTGTGTGTGTGTTTACCCAAAATTCCAAGAGAAGAATGGAGGAGAAGGGATTATGGTGTGCCCACCCCCTTTGGGGGGTAACTTCTCACTTTTCCTCTCTCTCTCTCTCTCTCTCCCTCTCTCTCTCTCTCTCTCTCTCTCTCTCTTGGCCTGGGGAGTGCACATGCTCTAAAGGAAAACTGAAAAAAATAAAAATAAAAAAAGGAAAGAAAGAAAAGAAACACATTTTACAAAGAGGAACTAACAACAAACATAACAATGGAACGTAATTGTCTCATATTCAAAAGGTGGGTACTGCCCTGAGTCTGAATCACTAGACTTTGTTTTCTTTTTCTACTTCACGGAGAAAAAAATGCTCACAGTCCTCATTTTAAACATACAGGGCATAAATGAATGGAAGTATTTAATATTCCATGGACATTAATGAGCATTGCTTGAAAATTCTTCACACATAGCCCACATACAGAGAATATAAGGTGCCATTTGCAGTACAAAAGCTGACCAGAAGAGCTGTAAAACATCCTCCTGGAGGATATGAAGAAGTACGGAGAAACGAGGAGCAGGAAGCCACCAGAGATGATGGGGTGGCTCAAAGGGGACCCACACACACATACTTTCACTCACTTGGTCAACGCAACAGCCCATTTGTAAAGGGGAGGACAGTGGCACTGTCCACGATTTCTTCATAAGGAAGCTCTATGATCTGGAAGTTCACGTGGACTATCTGCGGTCCTCACCTAACAAAGTCAGAGTCCAGACTTGGCCTTCATGGTCCCCACATCCAGCGCTCTGTTCAGCAGCTACACCACCTCTCTCCAGAGACATGTGTGCACAAGTTCACTCGCTCACTGGCTGCCTGTGCAGTCAGCAGTATGCAAAGACAGGGGATAAAAAGATTAAGTCCTGATTCCTGTGGTGAGGACACTTACAAATCAGACTTAAAAGTTACAAAGGAATCAAAGGCAGGGGGTTAGAGTGACCGTGACTGAACTAATTGTACAGGCAATCCCCAATACAGCCAATGGATTGCTGATGGCTGAGTTCCAGAAAGGCATATAGTGGCAAGCCATGAGAAACTCAGATACGCATTTTTTCCACTGAAATAAAGAACGCATATTGCCCAAGCTTGCCACTGAACTATAGCACTCTGTAATGGAACCCGATGCCCATCCATAATGTTGTTTCCAGAGGAAAACCTACTCCAATTTCAAACTGAGGCTCTCAACCAATATGCACCTGACTCCCTGGCCTTCAGTACAACCAGAAGTACCCGGGATTGTAGGTAGATCTTTGGTGAAAAATGACCTAGAGGATTTGGACCCCAGTAATATTGCAATAGCATAAATCTCTTGTAGGAGCAGGGATGAGCAAAGTAATAGTATTGACGCTGAGAAAAGCTGATGTCATCAGCTTTTTATGTCATCCCATTTACTGATAACATAAAAATCCCAGGAGCCAGCACTTTAAATAGAAAAGTGTCAGGTGTTACCTCTTCAAGAATTGCTTCTGCTCTCTTAGATCTCTTTTATCCTCTGGGATTCCAATTATGCCAGTATTAAACTTTTTCACCTGACCAAATATATCTTATATTCTTCTCTTTCTTTTTCATCTCTCTGAGTTTTAGTTTGCAGATCTTCTTTTATCTTCTAGTTCTTTATAGATTTATCTAAGCCCATTTATTGATTTCTTAATATGAATTACAGTCGTGTGTTGCTCAATGATGGAGATACATTCTGAGAACTGTGTTGTAATGTTGTGGGAGCTCACAGTGTACACACAAACATAGATGCTGTAGCTTATCACATGTCTAGACCATACAACATAGCCCACTGCTTGTAGGCTACAAACCTGCACAGCATGTTACTGTACTGAGTACTACAGGCAAATCTACCACAAGAGTAAGTAGTTGTGTATTTAAACATATCCAAACATAGAAAAAGTAAGCAAAATATGGTGTAAAAGACAAAACATAGTACACCTGTACAGAGCTCTTACAGGACTGCAAGTTGCTCTGGATGAGTCAGTGAGTGAGCAGTAAGTGAATGTGAAGGCCTAGGACATCACTGTACACTACTGTAGACTTTATAAACACTGTACACGTAGGCTACACTAAATTAATTTTTTTAAATTCTTTCTTCAAATAACAAATTAACCTTAGTCTACTCTTAGCTTTTTCCTTTTTTTTTTTTTTTTTTTTTTTTTTGCCGCAGGGCATGTGTACTCTTCACAGACAGAGAGGGAAAGTGAGAAATCACCCCACAGAGGGGATGACCATGCCACAATCCCTTCTCCTCCGCCCTCCTCTCGGGATTTTGGGCATGGACGCACACATGCCCCTCATGGTTTCAAGCCACCAGGTCCAGGACTCAAATCACAGAGTTGACCATGTGGGAATCTAGCCTCTTAACTACCAGGCCACCTGCTGGTCCCTACTGTTAATATTTTTGCTTTATAAACTTTTAAATATTTTTTTTAAACTTCTTTACTCTTTTGGAATAACACTTAACTTAAAACATAAATTGTGCAGCTACAAAAATATTTTCTTTCTTTATATCTTTATTCTATAAGCTTCTTTTCTATTTAAAATAATTTTTTTTTAACTTTTCAAATTTTTTGGTTAAAAGCTAAAACACAAACACACACATTAGCCTAGACCCACCCAGGATCATAATCATCAAGATTACTGTCTTCCATCTCCACATTTTGTCCCATTGGAAGGGCTCCGATGAACAAAATGACATGAGATTAATTCAGCACAAGAGGAAACGATGTGATCAAGAGACACAAGAAACAGAAGATATATAATGTAAGGCTGCTGCTGGCCTAAAACAGCATACCATTCTACAGTAATTTTTTTCTTTTTGTAAGTAGGGGTACACTCTAAAATAATATAAAAGATATAGTATAGTAAATACATAGACCAGTAACATATTTATTATCATTACCAAGTATTATGTACTACTTTTACAAGATTGACAGTGCCGAGATTTTGTCATCATCACAAACATGAATACATCGCACTATGACATGACAATGGCACAATGGCACCAGGAAATGGGAGCTTTATGGCTTATATATAAGTCATATATAGATGGCCCATCATTGACTGAAATATTGGTATGGGGTGCATGACTGTATTACATTACACAAAGTTTTCAATTCCTTGACGAAATTCTAAATCTTGGATTTTATTTCCTTGAATATAATAAGCTTTCCTACTTTAAAGTTCGTGTCTAATATTTCGATTACAGACATAACTCCCTTCTAATGCACTGTACTGTACTCTGTAAATACCTCATTTTTTACAAATGGAAGGTGCATGGCAATACCACGTGGAGTGAGTCTATCAGTCCCACTTTTCTAGTAGCATGAGCTCACTGCACGTCTGTGTCACCGTTCAGTAATTCTCACTATATTGCAGCTGTTTTCTTTCTCATTATTGTTACCTGTTATCTGTGATCTGGTAATCTGTGATCAGTGATCTTTGATGTTGCTATTGTGATTGTTTCAAGGCACCAAAACCCATGCCCATACAACACGGCAAACCTAAATAATAAGTGTTCTGACTGCTCCTTTGACGAGCCTCTCCTTCACATCAGGCCTCCCTATTTCCCTAGGCACAACCACATTGAAATTAGGCCAAGCAGGGACCAGCAGATAACGTGGTAGTTGAGGTGCTAGACACTCCCACACGGCTGACTGTGGTTCAAGTCCCAGACCTGGTGGCTTGCTTACTCACTTTCTTTCTTTCTCTGGCCAAAGAAAAATAAATAAATGAATGAATAAATAAAATTAAATAAATAATTCTTTTTAAAAATTAGGCCAATTAATAAGCCTACAATGATCTCTAAGTGCTCAAATAAAAGAAAGAGTCTCCTTTCTCTCACTTCCAATCAAAAGCTAAGCATTATTAAGCCTAGTGAGGAAGGCATGTTGAAAGCTGCTATAGGCCCAAAACTAGGCCTCTTGTGCCAAACAGTTAGCCTAGATGCAAATATAAAGGAAAAGTTCTTGAAGGAAATGTAAAGAACTATTCTAGTGAACACACAAATGATATGAAACCAAAACAGCTTTATTGCTGACATCAGGAAAGTTTTAGTGGTCTGAATAGAAGATCAACCAGTTACAACATTCCTTTAAACCAAAATTGATATCAGAGCAAAATCCTAACTCTTCCATTCTATGAAAGGTGAGGAAGCTGCAGAAGTCTGAAGCTAGCAGAAGTTGGTTCATGAGGTTTAAGACCAAAAACCATTTCCACAACATGAAAATACAAGGTGCCGCAGCAAGTGCTGATGTAGAAGCAGCACCAAATTATCCAGAAGATTCGGCTAAGATAATTGATGGAGATCGCTCCACTAAGCAACAGATTTTCAATGTAGACAAAGAGCCTTATATGGGAAGAAGATGCCATCTAGGCCTTCCACAGCAAGAGAAGTCAAATCCTTGGCTTCCAATCTTCAAAAGACAGACTAACTCTCTTGCAATGCTGCTCATTTACTGTTCTTAGGACCCTTAAGAATTATTCTAAACTGGGACCAGCAGGTGGCATGGTGGTTAAGGTACTGGACACTCCCACATGGCCGACCATGGTTCAAGTCCTGGGCCTGGTGGCTTGCTTTCTAACTTTCCTTTGTTCTCTCTCTGGTCTCTCCCTGCTAAAATTTCTAAAAAAAAAAAAAAAAAAAAGAATAAAAAAAAAATTCTTAAAAAAAAAAAAGAATTATGCTAAAATGTCTGTGTAAAAACTATCATCAGGACCAGCAGGTAATGCCTGGATGACAGCACATCTGTTTACAGCATGGTTTACTGAATATTTTAAACCCATGTTGAGGACTACTGCTCTATAAAAAAAGATACCTTTCAAAATAGTACTGCTCATTGACAACGCACCTGGTTATCCAAAAGCTCAGATGGAGAAGTATTATACAAGGAGATTAATGGTGTTTTCACGCCTGCTAACACAGCATCCATTCTGCAGCTCATGCATCAGTAAGTAATTCTTTCACATCTTATTATTTAAGAAATACATTTTGTAAGGCTATTACTGCCATAGATAGTGATTCCTCCGACTGATCTGGGCAAAGTAAATTGAAAATCCTCTGGAAAGGATTCACCATTCTAGATGCCATTTAGAAGATTTGTGATTCCTGAGAAGAGGTCAAAATGTTAGCAATAACAAGATTTTGGAAGAAGGTGATTCCAAGCCTCCTGGATGACTTTGAGAAGTACACGACTTCAGTGGAGGAAGTAACTGTAGACGTGAAACAAATAGCAAGAGACATACATGCAGAGCCTGAAGATGTGACAGAACTACTGTAATCTCATGAAAAAATTTAACAGATGAGAAGTTGCTTCTTATAAAAGCAAATAAAGTAGGATTTTTTTTTTGGAAGAGGTTTTTGCTATAGGACATGTGCGCTCGCTAGAAAGACAGAGAGAGACAGAGAGACAGAAAGCGAGAAATCACCCCCCAGGGGGGATGGCCACGCCGCAATCCCTTCTCCTCCATTCTCCTCTCGGGATCTTGGGCACACATGCACATGCACCCGGCGTGAGTTTAAGCCACCAGGTCTGGGACTCGAACCACGGTCGACTATATGGGAGTCCAGTGATATAACCATTACGCTAACTGCTGGTTCCAAAAGTAGATTTTTTTTTATTTAAAAAAAATTTTTAAAGTTTAT